ATGTTCGTACATGCAATAGAAAAAGACAAAATATAAAGACTGAAACCAAATCAACGTGGAATACAGTTTTTCCACTCAATATGAATGGTTTATCCCAGATCCGTGGGATAATACAAAACTGTCTATTTATGGTCAACGCGTACAGTGCGTTCATTTGTCCGTAAATCTTCTTCTTAGGTGCCTGTCCGTTCCTGAACGAAATAGCCCAACAGTCCGTAAATCAACACGATTCAAAAGACGGTCATACCGCATGTACTTACCGCTCCAACCATTCCTACGCGGGTAAGGTTAGGTAAGGTCAGCGTCGTGGTAATTACAACGTACTACAGACTAGGTTTTCGAATTTATCAAAAAGTAAATATTTATTAATTTCACACTAACGTGGGGTGCCCACTTTGTTCTCTTTTAACTATTATCTATTTTCTATTTCTGTTTGCCGACGTGAATCAGCAAAGAGCGCCTTTCCATGTTCTGTGAGATTCAAGCTTAAGCCTGGACGGCCGTTCTCCATATGTTCTGTGCATTTATGAGGGTTTTATAGCGATGTACACTTGACATTTATTACTAGTTTCTCTCACACAGCTTTATGTTCACTACCTACTAAACACTTGTTTCCAAGATGTTTATGTAGTATTTTTTAGTTATTTAACCGTTAGTAAAGGTGTAATATATTTAGTTATTTAACGTATTTGGATCTTTAATAAGATCCAGGAATACCTTAGAGAATAGGAAAACATGCAAAATAAAGGAAAGGGACAAAGGAAAAGAACGTGTCGATCAAAGCAAAACTAAAACAGAAATGGTCGCAGATTATAGATTTCAAAGAGGTCGTTCGGCCTCGAAAGCATGTCGACACTATGATCTGAAAGATATCTTTTGTTTCTATCTATATATTTTACTCAACAGAATATAAACTTAAAAGTATAAGAAAGTCTACTAGTCGTTTCGAAGCTGTTCATTATCCAATCAGATTAAAAAGATATGTTCCAGGTAATAACATTACGATCCTTTGCATTTTTGCAGAATATTCTTTTTGTTGTTTCCCATTTTGCAGATATGGTAACTGAGGTTTCTACAATTCATAAGAGTATTTTGTATAATGAACAGAAGGAATTAATATTCTTTACTTTCCTTTGGCGTAGAATGTTTTCCCAATAGGCTGCTCTAAGTTCTTATATTTGTGTCGGCATTAACCAGTAAGAACGCTGGTAATTACTCTAGAGTTCAGTTTTCTTAAACTCGTAAGAGTATTTTGCACAGCGAACAGAAATTATAACAAATGTAATAACCTTTTCCTGGACTATTTTTCAAAAGGTGCACTAAATTTCTTTTCTCATTTTCGGGCATCTTCCACTTTTCCCACTTTTTATACAGGAGAATGTCATACATATCATCATCACGTAGCACTACAACCCTGGGTGGGTCTTGGCTGACGGAACAACTTTATTGTCATACGTGTGGCCAGCATAAATAATAATTGTTAAACAAAAACGTTGTAAACAATCTAATGCAAATTCCATGACCATCAGGATAAAATGATCTTCGAATGAGAAAGAAAGATTCTAAAAACAATCCACTGGGCAGGAAGAGAACAAGAGCAATGGAATATAAGCACAATTTTAAAGGTGAGTATAATGTATGGGATGCTCAATATTGTGGATCTAATCAACAGTAATTAAAATGGTGATTACTTGTAGCGTATGCCTTAATCAAAAGAGATTCCTAGATTATGTAGAGGACGACATCCAGCAGCTTAGTGTTAGATAGTAGCAACGTCATATCCAAAATTGTGAGGATATTCTAGGATGCGAAGGGTCTATGAGCGGTAGGAGAAGGATCTAACGTAAAAAAGTAAGTAAAGCACATTTTAAGGTTTTGAATTAGTGTTGCGCTAGTTGCAGACAATTAAAGATTAACCTAAGAAAATATATTCAACAGTAAAGCGAAAATACTGACATTTTTTGACATACTATGTTGTAAGAAAATATTTTGACATACGAATATCCAGTATATTAGGAATCTTTTATCTGTACCTCACAAAAGTTTAGCAAATCTTCGTTGTTTTTTTAACGAGGACTATTTCGCAAAGCAGGTGTGGCATACGTTAGAGAACGTAAATAGGCAATTTCTTAAAAAAATCTTTTCCAAAATATGCATTATTAAATCAAAAATAATAAAAAATCAAAATTAAGAAATGATTCAACTGATTTCCGCTGTGAGTCAGTATTAACTCAGTAAGTGAAAAGCTCAGTAGTCAAGTATTAACAAAGTGTATTCACGTTAGAACACAATAACAGAAAAGTAAAACATCACTTTATATGCAACAATTGGTCACACGTTTGTATCTCGTGCCAAAGCAAGCTTAGCTATACCTTATTCGATGCTAAAAATGAATAATGAATACAAAATACCTTATTTTCAACTGATACATTATTTCCATGTACAACAACTATTTTAAATTATATACTGGTTATGCGAGTTGTGAATAAATTGCTAGAGGGAAAGAAATATTTCTGATAACCAAACAGCACAAAAAATGTTTACTGTAGAAAATTTGGGCATTTAAATATAGTTATCACACAGAATAGACTAGTAACCCTAGAAAATAATTCTGTCTTGAGGGTTGAAGGTGAAATAATTTTTATATAACAAAAAATTATTAAGAGAGCCTGAGGTTTTTTATTAATTTTGTTTTTATTTTTTCCCATATTTCTCATGTTTTCATCAAATATTAATCAAGTTGACTGAAATTGAATATCAGTGGTCATACACAAATATGTAAAAATATATAGTCATAAATACAACAGTTTTATTTATGTTGTGTTATATTAAATACCGACGTCAAATTAAGTCAACTTTACTGACTTGGTACAAAAACTATTTCGTGTCTATAATAATAAATCCCGTACAGTAAAATCTTACTACTAAAGGTTACAGATAGCGCTCAATACCCTAGATATCATTCTCTCGATCGTTATCTTACCTACTATTCAGACTGTGCATATTTTGTTAGTCCATTGGATTATTCGAATATCACCCCTTCCAGAATTCAAAAATCTATAAGCGAACATTTAAGAAAAATACGAACTTCATCAATGTCTTCCTAGATAGATCAAAATCCATACCGGGACATGCTCATTTCTGGTTACTTCAAATGCCAATGTTATATTAAAACTTCCTTCGAAGACCACCATTTCAAATGTAGAATTTTATGCAACTTCTCAAGCTATGAAAAACTTATCTAATTTGAATAGTCCAAAAACCCTTATCCTCACGAATTTTCTGATATGTGCGCGGTCTTAATAACAATACAAACTTGGGGCACCCACATTGTCCCTTGGACCCAAACAACCAGCAGTCATCGCATACAAATAGTCATAATTATTCAACTAACATGCTATATACCTATATTAGTATCTATCTTTAAAACAGCGAATATCCCTGTCGCTGCTTTGAGTTACAGCGATCTATTAATCGATTTTCAAAAATATGATCAACAAAGATCTCCTCATGGTCTCAATAACCTGTAAAATCTGCTAGATGAAATGAATGTGCTAAGGAATGTGCTAAGGTGACGTGACATTTTTCGTTATAACCTTAGGTTGATGAGAAATTTTTTATGTTTTTCAAATATTATATGTACCAACAAGGACACTGAGAAGATACCGAAAAAAAAATGGCACTATTCTTGCAGAGTTACAAAATTATTGTATATTTTACAGTTAGTTTTCCTTTGGACAAAAATATTTGATCAACAAAGCCCTGTCGTTTTCGCCGCACTGTATCTACTGTTGGATCGAGCAATTTTATTTGTTGTTTTCAGTCCACTTGTTTATTTGACCCAAATAAAATTAATCTATCACAAAACTAACACGTTGGTTTAAATAAAAACATATCAACCTTTATTTCCGGTAGGTTACCATTTTTTAATTAACGATTTAATTAATTATTATCAAATGATTGATAAGTTCGTCGATAGAAGGTTCGACTTTAAGATCTTTCGGTGCCAGTATGGTGTTTATTTTTTGATTGAAACTCCTAAAATTGATATTTATTTACATAGAATAAAGGACAACACCTGCCGTTTGTTCACGTGCCATCTGCCATATGCGATGTTCTTGTAGTTGTACTTGAAAAAATGAATGATGAAATGTCTGTGAGGCGGCTGATAAAATTTTGCTCATAGTGGAACGTTTGTATGGGAATTCTATATTAAAAAAAGCATATACATTAATATCTACAGAAATATTTATAACTAAGATCGCAAAGAGTGGGTAAATAAATATAGACAGGTGTAAGGCTCGCAGAAAACTGAGAGTTAATAAAAAAATGTTATCTAACTAAATATTACCTATTAAGAATGGAATGTTACAGAAGCTACAAAATTATATATTTGTAATAAGAGTTGCATAGATATCTGAACATAAAGTAAAAGATGGTTTTTATTTTGTTAAATTTAGTACAAATGTTTAGGCAAACCTTCTAAGCAAATAATGAATGAATGAATGAATGAATGAATGAAGTTTTTAGCGTTCAATTGAAATTTCCGTTTTTTATTCGATTTTTTTGTAGATTTGCAACTTAGCTGCAAAATGCAATTGATATCTATAATAGTTATTCAAATTTAGTAGAGTAAGTTTCTAAATATTGTTTAAAAGTGTTTACGATGCCTCAAGTGCAAAGAGGATCAAATTATCGCCAACTCTGAGTTTGACCAAGGGCTAATTTTTGGGTTACGCAAAACCTGAATTTTCATTTCGGAAAATTACTGAAAGAGTACATAGAAGTTTAGATACTGTGGCAAGGTATTCGAAGGCATGATTTTAGGAAAAGCGCACACAAAAAGCCAGCGATACTGGATGAGTCCGTAAATTGATAGAATATATAAATTGTCATTAAAAAATTAATTAGTCTGAAGAGATCACTTCTGCACCGCCAGGTCGATAGCGACTCAGAGGGTTAAACAACATGGAAAAAGAGTTAATGCAAATTGTACCTACCGACCACACTAAGTATTACTTCGAACTGCAGAACATTAATTTCATCAGCTAGAATGGAACACAGAACGATTATTGTGGGATCGGAAATGGACTTGGTAGTCTTTATTGATGACATTATGAAAGTTCACAGAAATATTTATGGAAAGACATGTCTACCACACAAATTTTTACCGTGAAGTTCTACAACCCTAGGTAAAGTATTGCCTGCTGAACAACTCTTAATGCATTCTTTACTCTCATATGCAACACTTTTTTAGTTAAGGACTCACATAATTTTTATCTTTCTCGCCTCTCTTTTACTCTTCTCCAACCGACGCCTTCTTTGGCCTACTTGTGGTGTATGTTAGGTGGGCTCTATTAGGTTAGATTGCTTGCATTTCTATCGTTGTATATTCGGTGTAAGTGATAAGTTTTTAGGTAGTTTTATGTTTTCTGTAACAAAAACTTCTTTGAAATGTATAAATAGGTTGTTGATGTCATTGTTGTATCTATGGCTCTTTTCTAGTACTTGCCTCAGCATGTGTAGTAGATCATAGATCGGTTTGGACGAAATCTCCAAACTGGAAGTCACCAATACCTTTCGAATAGAGCGTCGTTCTGTTGTGTAGGAGAAAGGAAAGCACTTTGTATGATACGTTTAGTAACACACATCCGCCATAGTCAGTACATTCTTGTTTATTCCATTTTGTATAAACAGTGAGACTCCATTTTCATTTCATTATCGCATATTTGGGAAATGCAAGTATTTGTTTTATGTATTAGTTCTTTATTATTTTTTAACGAACTTTACATATTACGATAAAACAATAATCGTTAACTTCTTTCCTTTCTTATAGCGGTAGACTAGTTCTAGGGAGCTTATAACATTTTGGATATCATATGTATCCTTTCTATTGCACAATAACTAATTACTATTTTAATGGAAATAAGCAACAACTGAAGTTTGAAATAAGTTTATTGGCGTTTCAATTTCCACTTAGGAAATAGTTCTCAAAAGAAAAACATTAATATTTGTAATTTGAGAACGATTTTATAAAGAAAATAGCTTAATAACAGTCCAGTTATCATCCAAAGAGTTGACCCCTAAAAATCATACGAAAAATCTGAATTTTGCAGAGAATAATAATTTTGGGAGCTCAAAAATAATGCAAAAATTTTTTATCACTTTTAACCGTAGGCTTCCCCCTAAAACCCCCATCGCAGGGGTGTAAAAACGCAAAAAATTCTAGATTTACCAAGAATCTGTACACTTAAGAAAAAAATGTTTCAAATAAAAAATGTAGCTGAGATAATTTTAACTAAAAATGTCTATAAGCTTTTTTGTGTAGAATGTTCTCTTAGAAACAGAGCTTGAAGCGACCGACGATTTTGCATGTCAGTTTCGCGCGCGAAATCAATGTTCAATAAAATTGTATCAGCTGGTCGGAAAAATTCGATATCTTTTGATCCAAATGTCCTATCAACAAAAATCAAGATGCGTTTTAAAGGCAAAGAGTGCAGCTTTCGTATGCAGTTTTTGTATTTTGCCCAGAAGAAACTTAGCTTTTATAAAGCTGTTAAATAAATTACCGTGGCGCGATTTTTGCCATTTTTTATGATTCTCATGAGATCAATAAAATTGTTCACTTTCATTGACCAGTTGTAGTAAAATTTCTATTTTTTGAGATCTTTAAAACCTATGACATAAAATTTCAATTTTAAGTTGTAGAAACAATATGAGGCATTTGAAATATGAATAAAAAACGCAGAATTTAATGTTTTACATTACAAACAATCACACGTCACGGTAAATGCGTTTAAGAAGACAGTTTTGAGTGTAGATTATTACACAAGTTTTGTTCTTTTGAAAAACGAACTAATCTAATTAAAAAAATAGTTGTGAATGTTTTAGATCGTTTGTTGTGTGAAAGTTTAAATCCAACGTTTTTTAAGCATATTTCAAATGCCTCACATTTGTTGTCAAAACCCAACCCTAAAGTTTCATGCTATAGGTTTTAAATGATAGGCTCTAGTAGTCGAAACTTTATAGTGACCAGTCAATGAAAGGGATAGATTGTATTGATCTCGTGAGATGATGAGATGATGATTGTATAAAACTGCATACGAAAGCTGAACTCTTTACCTTTAAAACGCAGCTTGATTTTTTTCCGTAGGTCACTTGAATAAAAAGATATCAAATTTTTACCGTCGAGATGATACAAATTTTTTTGAATATTGATTTCGCTCGCATAACTGACGTGCAAAATTTGAAAAATTTTTTTCTACGGTGTACAGATTTTTGGTAAATCGATTTTTTGCGTTTTTACCCCCTGCGAGGGGGATTTTAGAGGGAAGCCTAGGGGTAAAAGTGGTAAACTTTTTCATCTTTTTTGGGGTTGCAAAATTAATATTATCGGCACAATTCAGCTTGTTCGTATGATTTTTAGAGGTTCAATGGCATTTTCGTCTCCGACGACTGGAGTATAGTTATTTTTCATTTTTTAGTTTTTTACATGTTAACCCATTTTTTCTTAATCCATCTATTCTACTTCATCATCACTCTCAGAAAATTGTATAATTTTCCTTAATTTTCTTTAATCTTCTACATTAATATTTGTATTAATGTAGAAAATTAATGTTGTCTACCAAATAGATGATAAAAAAGAAGGCAATATTTTTTTATTACTATAAAGTCTTTTAGGCACCAACATTTCCTTTCAGGTTCTTGATATTACTTACTTTTTGCATCAAAATTTTTCGATCGAAAATATTCTAATGTATATATGTTATTAGATTATTACTTCATAAAAAGTAGTGCACATTTCTAGGTAAACAGATTTTGTAGATATGTATTCTGTTAAAAAGAATTTTAATTGGGGTTTAAATTTTGGTAACAGAGTTGGTATTATATAACACACGAAAACTAGTTTTTTTCTTCTTAGAACATTAGAACATCATCTAAAATGTTATATCTACTATAGATGAAAATATTAAAAGAAAAATTAAACATTTCCGAATATCATAGTCCAAGAGCGGCCATCAAATAGCGACCTTACAAACAAGTCAACTACTTTCCGTTGAGTCGCGTTGGGGTAAAAACCAATTTTCGTGTTAAGTTATCCGAGCAGATAATTTAGAAAAGACACGACGCACAAAGGAGAAAATATTCGTAATTAAAGTAGCAGCATAAAAGGACAGAAAAGGGTCATATATGTATAGACAATATTGCCTTCGAAATGCAAGCGATGGTCGTTGGATAGGTTAGGTTAAGGCCCGTTGAACACATGCGAAGCAGGTGCATTCAACATACATACATGTATATTTCCCAGTGGCGGAACACTATATTTAGAGAAAGAAAAAATTGAGAATACAAAAAAACAACTTTAAATGTCTATGGACAGAGACAGATAACATCAGAGTACATAAATTACTAATATTTAATTCATTTAGTATGTATGCGTTAGTTGCCTACTGGCGTATAATAAAGTGGAAATAGAAGAGGTGTAAATATGTCTATTCGTATATTATTTTATATAAAAATTATATATAATGTATATATATATATATATATATATATATATATATATATATATATATATATATATATATATATAGAATATATACAAAATTTATACTTTTATTAAAGTAAGCAGTTGCAAATTATTTTTAAATGCTAGGTGTTTTTGGCTATTCTAATTAAAGCGTCTGAAAAAAGCAAACGAGTATAAATTATAATTGGAAATGTTATTCATAGACTTCAAACAGGCATTTGATTCAATTAAAAGGAACGTATTAATGACAGCACTTAAAAAATTAAAAATTCCACATAAACTCAGAAAATTAATAGAAATGACAATGAGAACTACAAAAATAAGCATAAAGACACAAAGAGAGAGACAGAAGAATTCAGTATAAATAAAGGGATGAAACAAGGAGATGCCTTATCAACAACGCTATTTAATCTAGCATTAGAATATGTACTGCGAAATATAAATACAGGAAATCTCAGAACAAGAGGTGGTCAAATAATTGCATATGCAGATGATATTGCTATTATTGCACAGAAAAATAATGAAAGAAATGCTTGAAGAAATAAGAGAGAAAGGGGAGGTAATGGGGCTAAGATTAAATCAAGAAAAGACAAAAATTTTAAGATTAGGGAAAAAACCAATGAAGGAAAAAATCAAAATAGGAAGTTCCGAGTTTGAAGAAGTAGAATGCTTCAAATACCTAGGAGTTACAATAAGTAAATCCGGATAAAGGAAATCCGAAATAAAAGAAAAAATATTAGCAGCGAATAAAGCTTATTTTGCAAACAAAAAATTACTTAAAAGCAAAACACTGACTAAAAAAAGCAAGATGAGCATTTATAACACCATAATTAGACCAATATTATTATATGCAGGGGAAACAATGACGATGGTTAAAAAAGATGAAGAAGACTTAAGAATTGCAGAGAGAAAGATTTTGAGAACCATACTAGGACCAATCAGAACAGAGCAAAATGAATATAGAAGCAGAACAAATGCAGAAATTAAGGAAGAACTTAAGGAAGACATCGTAACTAAAATAAAGCAATGCAGAGTTAGATGGTTAGGTCACATTTGGCGAGCAGGCGATGAGGCAGTGACATACGCAATGATAGAATGGAATCCAGGAGGAAGAAAGAGAAGGGGAAGACCGAGATCAAAGTGGCTGCAAGAAGTTGAAGAAGACCTCCAAAGGGCAGGAGTCAGTGAATGGAGAGGAAGAACTAGAGACAGGAAAAAATGGAGAGATATTGTCAAGAAGATAAGATAAACAAAAAAAAGACTGATCCACTTAAGAAATAGGATCTAGAAAGCATTTGCGGTTTAACCCCACGATGGGGTGTATAGCCATTATATATATATATATATATATATATATATATATATATATATATATATATATATATATAATTAAAGCGTCTTCTATTGACTTTCAAAAAATTAGTTGCGTACTGACTGAAAGGCTGCCTATCAACCACCGATATATGAATGGAGATATTGCTTATATCGTCTTCATAAACTTTACATTACAAAAATAAAGCAATTCAGAAGTTTCTTTTAAACCAATTAACCAATTTGAGTTCAGTTCTTGACATCTACTCAAATG